ATTTGGGATCCTATAAGGTAACCCCCGAAAGGAACTACAATGGAGATTTCAGGTACTTCGTTTCTTTAGGGAGTTTATAAGGGTCATACGAGCGGGTTTAGAGGACCTGGAGAGCTCCACACCCCTGACAAAACTGAGGTACCTCAACTCATAATCAGAAGCCTTTCAGAATTCGAGGTGCATGGCTCAATCCATGAGTAAGGGCTCTTGGAAAAGCCTCAACAGCCAAACTTTGCATCAACGTCCAAACCCCAAACCCTAAAATCCTAAACCCCTAGACTCCTAAAACCCCCCAACACCCATAAACCCCTAAAAGCCCTCAACCCCTGAACTCCTAAAGCCCCCAAAACGCCTAAACCCTGAACACCAAGACTGAAGCCTCATCTCTGACGTCTCTGGCTTGGGATGGTGGGATGAGGAACTAGGGTTTAGGGTTTTAGGGTTTAGGGTTGAGGGATCCTGGGATTCCGAGGTGATTTTCTACATATAACATGTACTGGTACAGTTTAGATGGATAGATAGCCAGGTAGGGAATTAGATACATAGATCGGTAGACAGACATATAGGTACATTGATAGCTCAACCGATAGACCTGTCTTTCGGTACATCGACGCAATAGTGCGGGTATGTGTATATCTGCTGCTGTTACTGCTTCTGTTGCTGCTGACGACGACGCTGCCCCGAACCTACAACTTTTGATCCCCAAAGCCCTCAAACCCGAAAATCGTCCACAACTCTTGCCAGACAGCCATTAACACCCAACAGCCAGAATTCAGGCCCGGTATGCCAACCCCTTGATCCACAAACCCCCGTTCAGGGCTTTCTATAGGGGCCTTAAGAATTAGACTAGGGGTTTGGGGGTGTCTTATACTTTATAGTAAGGAACCCCCCAAAACCCCTATTCTGATCATTAAGGCCCCTACATTAGGGTTTGTAGGAACCGTAGACCCTTAAAACTCCGATAGTAACTAAACTTCATCCTTGAAAACCTGAAACCCTAAACCCTAAACCCAAAAACCCAAAAACCCAAAACCCTAAACCCTAAACCCAGTCAAAAGAGCTTTCCAGTTCGGTTACGGAGGCCTGAGTCTGGAAGCCTCGAGGGGCAGAAGGCCTTGGAAACGATGGCAAAAAGGTTTAGGGTTTAGGGTTTAGTATAGGGGCCCTTCATAATTACCTATACTATTTTTGGGGGGGTATAGGGGCCTTCCTAATTACCTATACTATTTTGTTTTTTGGGGGGTTCCCTTATTATGGCTATAGGAAAACATACCCCAAACCCCTATTCTAATTACTAAGGCCCTTACATTAAATGGGTCACTTCACCAAGATAGAATCCCCACTGCAGGCCATTAAATGCAACCTGCAAGTCTCGGTTTAACCCTAAACCCTAAACCCTAAACCCTAAACCCTAAACCCTAAACCAAAAAAAACCTACATAAACCCCTGAGGTTGAGGGAGTCTTTTCGAATCACCGAGGTGAGGACGTTTCCTTCGTCAGTGGCGACGTTGCCGACAGCTCTGGGTTGCTGACGCGCTCCGACATTTCCTATAGCTTACATCAAACCTTATGGTGAAGGGTTGCTATAGCCCACCCTAAGCCCTCAACCGTAAGGTTTTTGGTTCTCGTGCCAGCATTCCCTGAAGATGTGGTTTATGGGTTGTTGAAAGGTTTTGCGGGTTGTAGGGTTTAGGGTTTAGGGTTAAAAGGTTCCCATATTGGTACTTTCTGGCTTATGGCTATGGGGCTATAGACAGGTTTGTACAAAACAGGGTAACTACATGCCAACCGAATCACCTTTTCAAGGGTCAAAATACGCGAAAAGGTATTGTTGACGATATAGATCCTGTATTACCTTAAGGACCCTAAACCATGAGAATTATGGTATATTCCT